AGTGTTGCAGTGGAAATGTAATTGATCGTGCACAGAAGAAAAAAAGTATATTACAATCAAAGTCTATTGTGCCTCCATTGGTAATTCCTGGATTTACTGGAGGAAAATCAAGTCAACAAAAGAGAGATTGCTTTCATCCTGGTGTATCTAGCATGAGTCGTGAAGGTATTGATTTCCAAGAAAAAGAATCAGTTACATCTGTAAATATGATTAAAGCAATGCTTAGATACATTTGGCCAAAAGTAAGTCATCTTAGATTTTGAAATAATAATAATAGAATACAATTAGCATTGTAATAAATGTATGTCTATTTATAGGATGATCCAGAAATAAGGAAAAGAGTTAAAATAGCTGTTGGTTTACTTATCACTGCAAAAGTTTTAAATGTTGGTGTTCCTTTTATTTTTAAATATGCAATAGATTCTCTGAATGCTCATCATATAGCAACTACTGGCAATGCCATTCTAAATCTAGAGACTGCACCAGAAACAGTTGCAACTGTAGCGACATCATTACTTGTAGGATGTATGTGCATTGTACAAATTATTCTAGAAATAATATCAAATTTAAAAATTATTGATAATAGATATTTTGTATTAATAAAATAGATGGAATAGCACGTGCTAGTGCTGCTGGATTTAGTGAACTGCGAAATGCAGTATTCGCAAAAGTTGCGCAACATTCTATTCGAAAGATAGCTAGAAATGTTTTTTTACATTTACATAATTTAGATATGGCTTTCCATCTAAGTAGACAAACTGGAGCATTATCTAAAGTAAGATACATTATTCTATTTTAATCTACTTTCGGTATTATTATTATATAATACTATAATTTGTTTACTTAAAATATTATAGACAATAGATAGAGGAAGCAGAGGTATAAATTTTGTATTAAGTGCCATGGTATTTAATGTAATGCCCACTGTCTTTGAGTTATCATTAGTTAGTACAGTACTATATTTCAAATGTGGTGCAGAATATGCAGGTATTGCTCTTAGTTGTGTTGGAATTTATGCTATATTTACGTTAGCTGTTACACAATGGCGAACAAAATTTAGAATTTTTATGAATCAAGCAGAAAATGAAGCAAGCAACAAAGCAATAGACTCGCTTATCAATTATGAAACAGTAAAGGTATACTTAAAATTCATCTATTTTTGTAATTACAATAATAATATGCCTACATAATATTAGTATTTTTAATAGATAAGTAATTAATTGCCACATTTTTATGCTAGTATTTTAATAATGAAAAATTTGAAACTGAAAGATACGACGAATCTTTAAAAAAATACGAAGCTGCATCGCTTAAGACTAGTACAAGTTTAGCAATGCTAAACTTTGGACAAAACGCTATATTTAGTGCTGCCTTGAGTTTAATAATGGTACTAGCATCCAATAATATTATGAATGGTAATTTTCTTTTATATTCAAAATATATGTAATGTAAAATATACTATTTAATATTATTTTTAAACATAGGTACTATGACAGTAGGAGACTTAGTAATGGTCAATGGACTTTTATTTCAATTGTCAGTTCCTTTAGGATTCTTGGGCTCAGTATATCGCGAAGTTAGACAAGCACTTATTGACATGCAAACTATGTTTACTTTAATGACAATGGATACAGCTATTAAGGTACTTTTATTTAATTTTAAAATAATTACAAATATGTTACTATATAAATGATTAATATATTTTGTAATCTAATGTTAGTCTAAAGAGAATGCAGCACAATTTATTATAAATTCAACAAATTCAAATATTGAATTTAAAAATATTGATTTCCAATATATTGAGGGCAAACCTATTTTTAAAGATATTAGTTTTACTATTCCAAGTGGTAAAAAGATTGCTATTGTTGGAGGATCCGGTTGTGGGTAAGTTTTGAATATAATGTGTGTAATTTAAATAAAAGTATAATATTAATTAATAGTATATACTTTTAGTAAGACAACATTAGTTAGATTGTTATACCGATTTTTTGAACCACAATCTGGAGAAGTTTATATAAATGGACACAATATTCAAGACATTGATTTAGATACCTTAAGAAAGTCAATAGCAATTGTACCTCAGGTAATTAGACTGAAAAACGAAAAAATTTAGTAATATATATCTGTAATGGTAAAATTAACAAATTATTTTAGGATACCGTTCTCTTTCATGAAAGTATCTTTTATAATCTTCATTATGGAAATTTATCTAAATCGGAGGAAGACGTTTTCGAAGCAGCTAAAATGGCAAATTTACACGATTCTATTCTTAAATGGCCGAAAGCATATGATACACCTGTTGGAGAGCGAGGTTTAAAATTAAGTGGAGGTGAAAAGCAACGAGTAGCAATTGCTAGAGCAATTTTAAAAAATAGTCCAATATTAATTTTTGATGAAGCTACATCATCTTTAGATTCTATTACGGAATATGTAAGTTTTTGTTATATTTAAGGGTTATTAGTACATGTTTAACCATGATTTAATGTTCATAGAATATTCTTGAAGCATTACGCAGAGCAACTACTGGCCGAACATCTATTGTTATAGCACACCGTTTATCTACCGTCATGGATTCGGATGAAATTTTTGTTGTAGACAATGGTAGTTTGATTGAGAGAGGAACACATGATTCATTACTAGCTATGCCAAATTCTTTCTATAACAAATTGTGGGAAACACAACATATAGGGATGTTCAAATCTACTCAAGAAAAAGATAATAACTGTAGAACTCCAGGAGTTTGAAACAAAAATTGTATAATACCCAGGTAATAATATCTGTACAATGTTGATTTTAAAGCAAATGATACAGATTTTAAACGTATTGAAAATCTACTTGTCTAAAAAACATTCTTATTTGGATAGTAATTTATATATGTTACAATATAATATGATGACTTGAAA